ACAAGGGAGTCTTCGGCCAGCGGGGATCGAACCCGCGACCTTTTGTACATGGGCCCAGTGCCCTACCAACCAGGTTATCCCAGCCGGAATTTTAGAAGTGGAATGGCTCACGCACTTTCTCAAACATATCGAGTGTATATCGCAAAGGAATTGAGAATGTAAACGAATCGAGTGAATATCGTACAGGAAAAGAAGAGAAAAATATTGGTGACAAATTTAATGATCACGGTGGCTATGCGATTGGTCCTCGTCCTTTCAACCTCAAGCAGCTTCGGGCTTAACATTTAAGAAGTTTGTAAATATAGATTTACGTATGCTAACATTAGAGAAATAACTTCAGCACTTCTATATCTTTAAAAAGTAATAAATGACTCTCGAATGAACCGTCATAGTCTTTGCGACTGGTTTGGACATAGAATCCATACTATAAATTCATCATTTTCTCTTTCTTAGTCCATGCTTGCAGCTGTAAGTCTTCACTAAATTCCACTTTTTTATAAGCACTAAACAGCATATCAAAAATCCATTTATTTCCGTATGACATGTATTTGCGGATTCAATTTATTCTCGCTTGTTTATGTGATTTCTGGCCAGTTAATGTATCCTGTCTCATAAGACCGTCGTCAACAATGTAAAATGTTTTTGAAAAAAAATATGGCTCAAAAGAAGCCATTTGTACCATTTATTTATTTATTTTTTGAAGCCAACTTTTAAATTTTAGTATCTTCTCGCAAAATTTCGCAAACTACCATACGGTAAAATTGTGAATAAGTAATCCTAAATCTATTCATAATTCATTTTGAGTGATTTATTTCGATTGAAAATTCTGAAATAGCCTTACTTGGCGATTTAACTTGCAAATATTAATAATTTTTTCATGTGTAAACTAATGCTAATCGTCAACATTGGGCATTTGAGATTGAAATTTAAAAGTAGGTAGGCGCTTTATTTATGTCGTGCTAAAGCTACACAATGGGCTATCGGCGATGGTCTGAGAAACAGCTCTGAGAATGATCCGAAGACAAGTCATTATAATTTTGATCCTCTGCAGAAGAGATGGATCCTTTACTTGGTAGCCCGACCACCTGCGAGCGAATTCGAGAACTTTACGGTAGAACAGTTTAACGAGGATCTATACCGCGCACCCATACTCTCTACACAGGCTGATCAAAGTAATTACCCACCCACTTACTGACCAAAGCCAGTGATGCTCGACTTCCGTGATTTACAAGGAACTTTGTCTTTACGATCAGTCCATTAAAGAAAATGTTAAATTAAATTAATTTATTTATTTTATTTGTTGTAATTTTTTTGGAGTGCTCCTCACACTGTTGTATTGATATATTTTGTTTTGGCTATATTGATACAATAATAGAAAGCACTCCTTTTTGAGGATATAATCGCGTGAGCTAATGAAAAGATTATATCTTTTAATTTCCGGATTTTTATTAACTTTTTCCCTTCCTTTTTTTCGGATTCCCCCCCCCTCCCGGATTTTTCTTTTTTTCTTCTTCTTCTTTTTTTATTTTTAGCACAAAATTTATTCTTGTTTGTAAATATTCAAAAAATTATGCAATATAAGCAATGAAATACAAACAAATTTTTATCATCAGAATGTTATATCTTATTTTCTTTGGTCTATTAATTTAATATATAAATATATTAAAATCATTGCATCAAATTGCACGTTAGTAATTATGCAAAACAATTAATATATTTTTTTTCATAATGAAATAATAAAGTCATTCAGCGGAATGGGAAATCAAAGAGAAAGGCAAAGTAAAGATAGATTTGGAATTTAAAAAAAAGAAATTGTTACATTGATTTCCCCATAAAATTCAAATTATAAGTCTCATAACTAAAACTGATAGCTATAAAACTTATAAGAACAGAGAATATAACTTTGCAAAAGTTTTGCTAACATTTAAAGCCTGAAAATTTAAAATTTGGCAAGTAAACACTATTAAATACATTTTAATGAATAAAATTAAACAAAAAAATATTCCAAAATATTAGCTTTGTAAATAAATACATAAATAACATTATTTATTGTCTTAACAAATAAATAATTTAATAAATAAATAACTTAATGAATAAATAGCTAAATAATTGTCTTCATAAATAGCTAAATAATTGTCTTCATAAATATATTATTTTTTCTTCATTAAAATGGGAGCTGTAGGAAGCAGAATTTGATTCCAGGCAACATATAAAAAAATAGAAAGAAAAAAATATAAAAAGCTATGGAAATTGTTATTAGATATCAATAAATAATCAAGTTAATATAACAATTTAACATATTAATTTTAAAGCCAAAAACTTTCAATTATATGAAAATTCTTATTTGCAGACTAAAAGTTTAAATTACAAAGGGTCTTTCCAACAAAATAAATTGATAATGATGAAATGATTCTTTGAAATGATAATTATTCTTTATATTAAAAGCACCCAAGAATATAAGAAAATATTTTATTATGCACTGTATATTATAAAATATAATTTAAATTTACATCGTGAATTCAATTCAATTCTTTCTACGAATGCATTTACCTTAGAAAAATAGGAATAGTCACAATTTCTACACATCAAATTTCAGCACATGGTTTCTGTTTATGAGTAAAAAACCCTTTCATGGATGCACCGTAGTAATAATATTGCTCTAAATTAATCTAAATAAAACCTTACTCTCAAATTTAAAAATTCATATTTTTAGCTATGAAAAGTAAGAACTGGCCAGTAATATAAGTTTGAAACAAAAAATTTCATCGCACATATTTTAATTAAAAAGGTACTTATTTAAGGAGGTAAATTCTTTAATGTGAAAAAAAAATGACTGAAAACTTTTAGAGAAAAAATGTACAAAACTGATGTTATCATTAACACGTTCTAATGCATACAAAGCACAATATTATAAGAAAATTACGAATTGTTTAACCTTGCTTTCTAAATATACCACTAAATTATTAATTAGCATAACTAAAAGAATAACTGAGAATTTTTTTCACATAAACTGTTTGCTTTGAACCTTTCATTTTTGCCCAAATTATATCTCATTTGTTTCAATGTCTTGTAATACATGTAAAAGACATATTGGATGTTTTCAACTACATGCTTATGACTTCTTTAGGTCTGGTTTCTTAGGACAGGACGCCGTCAGCTGGAAATCAGCGCTAACCTCTGATTGGCTCATTTGTGAGTTTGATAGTATATGTCATCAAACGCTCATCTTGAACTACAATTGCCGTCCAACTCAATTGCAGTTGGATTACAACGTGACGTTAACCACAGAAGCAATGGCGGACAACATCCAACAGCACATTGAAATCAGCCAAGATTTTGATTTTGACATTAAACATAGCTTCTTCATTAAACATAGCACTCTTCATTTAGCTCAGCTA